CTGTGGGCGAATGGAGTGCGCGGGGGCAATGACACAGGCCGCGTTCGCCCCGGCCGTCAGGGCAGACCGTGGCCGAACCGGTTACGTGGAGGGGGGGGGAAGCTGCTGGATAGTGATGAAACCACTGAAATCAGTACGCTCGGAGGAAGGCCGCAATATTTTCGCCAAAACGTCGGCGACCGTGTCACACACGCGGTTCGTCACAGACAGCCGAGATCACACAAACTCCGGTCGCCGAAGCCTATGCAATTATATCACTGAAATATTAGTTGTGACGCACACTGAGTCTGTGGGAAGGGGGAGAAGGCAAGAATGGATGCGAAGCAAAGAGAAGGAATACGCAAATGCGTGGTGAGGATCGGTGCGTGAGAAATGTGCTACACCTTATCAAAGAAGTGGTAAATCTGGTTCTTTCAATTCAAATAATCCATGACAGATTTAAACTTCAGTTATTATATGGAAGTTCAGTTATTATATGGAACTTCAGTTAAATTATATGGAAGAAGAAATAATGAAAATCCACGGGAAAACTTATTGACCCACATTTATTCATTTCTCTCCAACATTTTGAATCATTCGTATTTCTTAAGTATCAATTAAAAGTTATTTTATTCTATCCTTTTTTGTGTTTGGATGACAATGTATTTTTTCATATTTATAATATTCCCAGATTCCCGGTCGTAAGAACTACAATGCAACTACTTCATCTACCTTAGAAGTAGTAATGATGGCAAAACCTATGCAGTAACTGCTTTGATGTAAAATTGTAAAATGGTTATATTGTTAGAAAAATCTATAAAAATGTTTTCTCGTTTGCAAGAGCAAATGGAAACAATGGTACATTGTGCGTGTAGTTTGAATTCTCATTTGGAAGTTAGTGTGCATATCTTCATGTAAATAAATGAATATATTTTGCATTTCGCAATTAAATGTGTATTGCACGTCTGTTAAAGCTAATATGTGAGTCACGGAATCGGGTTCAACCGAGCCCATTTTTGTGTCACCATTTGAATGCCGTGAGCGTGAAAATTTACAAATCAACAAATTCCACTATTATGTTAAAATAGAATTCTCTACCACGGTCGTTTATAACAATTAAAACACCTAGACACTACACTTGGGAAAGTTATCATATAACAATAATGTAAATTAACGTTCCCTGAAGAGCATTAAAACGACACAAACAATTCCATTCCGGTAAATTAATGCAGCTTGAAATGTTAGTTCCATTTTATAGGAATTTATTTACAAATGTGGGGCAAAAGGAAACAAACATAGAAACATAAATACGTGAAATTTATATGCCGAGTATTCCTGATACTGCTATATTGCGCCAAAGAGAGAATAAATATGATGAACTGAAACACACAGTAATTAGAATAACCAGGATTTCATATGTTACGTTTGAACAACACGAGGAGATTGAAATATCTTGAGTGAGGCAGCTCAAAATTCAGCTACAGAATGTATGTGATTGAAGAGTGACTCTCCTGGTTAAGAATGATTTGGTCTATGCGAGACGAATTAAAAGGAATGGTTGAAGCGGCAGAAATAAAATCTAATGTGTTCTTGGCATTCAGCGAGGGAAGCAGACAATGCACAAACGTGTTAAAGTCCGACCACAACCGTTCCTAACCTCAGCGTTCTTAACGCAGAAATCTAGAATTTCTAGACAAGTGTTTTCATCTTTATTTTGTTTTGGATCAATAATAAGGTCGGATACAGTAAACATTTAATTTATAAGTCATTTTCAGATTCGTAGAGACCACTCTACACTCTAAATCCATGCTCGTTCTCTTTTTCCCACCCTGGAAAGTAAAATTGACACCATCACACTTCAACGTCAACGCCGTTTGGAGGTGATCAGATGATGAAGTGCGATATTGATTTGAAATGTAGGTGAGGAACCATGAGGGCTTTCGCATTCATGCCGTCCCCTCTGCCCCCCGGGGCAAGTTATCACAATGGTGGTCGTCTGCCATTTGGCGGCGAAGTGGTTTGCCAAAACGGCTTTGTGATAATGGTTGAACAATTATGGAAGACTAATGTTTGTGATTGATTGACTGATTAGTGATTCTGGATGCGACAACTGCCAAGGTCAATATTACTGTAAGTTTAGTTAATGTTTTGTCGCGGTGATTTGCCTCCCACTGGATGGCGAGATCCGGCGCCGACATACACGTCGACTTGCGGTTATTTTCCTCAACTTGGTATCTCCAAACAGGGGGACACTGTTCCAGCCGGGACAAGCTCTAAGCGGCATATATGGTTGGGTAGTGCAGGTAAGTATAAGTGTAAGGAGTGAGGATAGAACTAGGAAGGGGGAAAGATCTGTTTGTTAGGGTTCTGTTTCGACGTTCAAAAATGGTTGTGGATGGAATTCTTTCAATTGAAACGACTACGAGAAGTACTACTGTTTGTTTCTTTTCCCAACGCTACTCTGCTCTGTTAAGCTCGCGACATGTAGTCGGCGCGAGGTGTGCTGCTGCCACTAGTAGGCAATCATGACATCATAGCTAAAGAACAACAAGTAAATGTGATTGCAGGGTGCTCCCTGAAGGCGAAATTACGAGAGAGAGAGGGGGTCAAGGCGAATCTCACCTAATCTTACATGGGAAGAGGAGCGATCTCCGCAAATATCATGTATTTTTTCGCTAAAAATTATATGGACTTGTTGGTTACAGGAGTCACACTAGAAGTCCCCGTGGACTGAATGAAAACGAAATACAATGCACTGTTTTTAGAAATGTAATAATATTCATTGAAGTTCCGTCACTCTATTTTCTAAATACTAGTCGTATGTGGTCTTAAACAAATATAATTAAGCAAATTACGTTTTTAAATAACTTCTAATGCAATCAATCACAAATAAACGTATTTATATCAAAATACATATTTTGAAAAATCCGGGGTCGGTCCAATTCCCCCGACATCTCACCAAGGGGCAGGGGACAGACGAAATATCGCCACACGTAATTTATGGACGTTGGGGTTGCACTCACCTTGACGCGCCGCATCTGCCGCTTGCCCTTGTACCACGTGATGACGGCTGGCGGGCGCGACCCGGCAGACTCGCACTGCACCTCGTAGCGGCGGTCGGCGGCCAGCGGGGACTGCTTGTTCAAGATGCGCACGGTGAGCGGCTTCACTGCGCACGTACAAACCAGCGCAGTCACAACACCGCAAAGGCAAAGAAGGAACATTTATTCCAACCAATCAATCAATCAATCGATCAATGAATTATAAATAAATAAATAAATAAATAAATAAATAAATAAATAAATAAATAAATAAATAAATAAATTTCATAATAGCCACCAATAAACTACTCAGTTTTACGCAAAGTTTTGAGACCACACAAATAACACCAAGCTTTGGATTTATTTTCATCGCGTTGCTTTTATGGTAAGCTTTTTTAAGTACCAAGAAAATTTTAGGAAGCAAACTTTTTGGTGGGCATGATCAAACTTTGATGCACCAAATTATTTTTTACATTAGGACAGAAAATAATAAAAGTAATATATAACAAGTAATTTTATCTGTTCCAAAAATGAGATTGGTAGAATTTTAATATTCACTTTTTGTTATTTTTAGTCACTATTGAACTTCCAAATAGGTTGAGCAGTTTTACAAATATTAATTAACTTTGAAGAATTACTCTTTTTATTAGAGAGTGATAAATTTTTCCAAATTGTCATTAGAGGGTGTTAGTTTGCATTTTGCAAAGTGAAAAATTGTAATCAAATTGGTCAAAGGTAAAAATGAAGTTACATCGGTAAACTCACTCGTCCCAACAAAAGACGTATATTCGTAGTATCAAATTATTATATTGGACATTTACATTAAAAGTTAAGTTTTATGGAACAACTGATCAAAATCTGAAATTAATAGTAATTGTAATAAGAACAAAACAAAATAGTTCTACTAAATAAGAAATTACTTGCATTCTTTTATTTTTAATTAAGAAATATTTTTATTAAATTAAATTAATTATTGATATATAAAGAAATCAGTTATCGCAAGAGACTACCTTGAGTAAGTTGCAGATTATATTTAACTCTCGTTTACAATTTTTTTAGTTCCGGAAAACGTTTATTGCAATATATGAACACAGGAATTTAAGGCATATCTACAAAATTCTCAAAAGGAAGTCGAAAAACCAGAAACGCAAATATTATTATTGCGCAATGCCATAACGCGATCTAATTCCGAATTGACACAGCAAATGGATTAGTTGCATAAAAGCAAGAAGGGCCCGACCACGACGTAAGAGGTCTTTCCCTCATCGTTCCCTCCGTTTGCGGTGGAGGAATCACGACCTCCGAGCACGGAAGCCCAATCGTGAGCGATTCTGGGCCGGATTTAGATACCGCCAGGCCCCGAAGCGCAAAGCGCTTTAGGACTCCTCCGGAATATTCTCAAGACTTACGAAAAATGTGTAAATAATATTAGACTAATTGTAAATTTATCGAATATTAAAAGAAGTTTAATTTTCAAAAACCAAATTTTTAGTACCGTAAGCTATTTCATTAACAATTAATTTACAGATACAAACAGTTAAAGAAATTAAATATTTTATGAATTTTTTTGTCGGGACGTATTAGCCCCATGGTTGTGTGCTCCTACGCATCTGTTTGTGTGCTTGCAGATAAATCCAGCCCTGGCGCATAGGCGAGGAAATATTGTGCGGAGTATTGATGGGTCATTGATGACAAAACACGATGTTTGAAAAGATTGATGTTCAAAATTATAATGTCGACGTTAATAATATATCTACCAAACATCGTCGATGTTTTTAAACATCTACATTTAATGGGCAGTTAAGTAAATATTTTATTATATTAATGTGCAAACAAACGAATTTGACAGTGAGCGTGCTTATTATATAATTAAGATTTAACTGAAAAGAAAGCCAAGAAATAACAATGGTTAAAATTAATCCTAATCTAACAGGATCATATCAAAGAGACAGTGCTCAATTCGCCGAAGAATGATATAGGGAAGAAAGGGGGAGGCCCAACGCCCTCTGTACATGCGTAAATGTCTTTTCATATGAGCAATACAAGAAAAGATACGAAATACTTCGAGGTTGTCCGGGTAATACCGGGCGAGATATTAATTGCTCAATGGAGGCAGTACAATGAGCGTTACTATGCACCACCGCATGAACTGACAGTGGTACCATTATGATACTATTATGGTCTATTTAAATTATGTCCTGTTATTCTAGTAAATATGTGAAAGTGTGATACATTTTTTATATTTCTCGTTAGATGGCGATGTGTTTTGAAGCCGGGCAGTTGGCATTAGCAAATGAGCTAGGACTGACCTTTTGTTTTGTCATGTGAAACAATAAAGTATAATAATAATAATAATAATAATAA